AGACTCCGTGGTTCCCGAGATATTAATTTACCCGTAAAAAACTTTCACGGAGTCATACGTGTTACCTGCGGGGACGGGGAAACTGAATTTAAATTTGCGGGGTCACACATAGGAGGGGAACATCCCCTATTCAGCGCTTTTCCTAGCCTTTGTGGTTCCCGAGTTGAAAGTTGCGGACAAGCTGCTGCGGACACACACACACACAAACAGACACAGACAACCCCGTAACAATATGCGTTTTGTTGTGCTTTTACACAACACAAAACGCATAAAAAATATGAGCAACGCGGAAAAACATCGACTGATAATAAAACAGCTGCAACGAGCACTGCTGACTATCACGAAAAACCTTTCTGACTGAGCGACTCCAAATTAGAAGCCACTCCGAATATCTGACGGGCTGCAAATTTCCACGAAAATGAAGATTAACAATAATGAAGATAGTGATGACAGAAATAGCAATAATGACGATAATGATGATGATACTATCAAAAATAACAAAGATAAATCCTCCGACGCAGGCCTAGCATATTTTATTAACAAAAATATTTGATTGGTAATAATCAAAGAAATTCAAAATGATAATTTTTGACAGATTTTGCAATTTACAATCTCGACGACAGCTGCACACGAATTCGCAAATGTATAGCTGTCGAAATTCTAAGTTGCAAAATCACACACACCCGAAATGGCCCCACAGAAAAATCGCCGAAAAATTCTCGCAATGATTTGCAGAAATACTTACCACCCGCCATTTCAACGTCGCCCGCACTTAGACAATGCGAAAAAGTCTCAGTCTTCTTCAGCAACATCTCAAAACGCTTGAACGAATCCGACTGGAACTGCGATTCCATACTGCTGCTGGCGCTGCCTAAAAATAACAAACAATGAGAGACGACCAGTCTATCGCGACCCTAACTGTTAGCTTATTAGTCTAGTGTGTGCCCTGGTTGTAGGAGTGTGTATGTGTGTGTACGACGTCGCGTCCTATATACATATTTATTAATACATAGTAAGTTAAAGAGATAATGCATACAAAAGTGGTGAGCCAAAGCTCCCCAGAATAGTAGAAATAAAAATAGGCCGCAGTGGTGGATGGGTAGTGGCGATCCCGGCGATGGGGAGAAGTGCTTTTATACCTCAGGCGACAAAGATCGAAAGTTTAACGAGAGTGGGGTGTCCAAAGTTTGAACCAGGGATAGGGGTATTGCGTCATAGTAACGCAGTTGTTCTTTACTTTTAACAATTAATCATTACTTGATCTATTACACGACACCCTCACAAACGAAAGATATGACCGTCCACGGTTCGAAGAACAAAAAAGCATTAATCATTATTTGATCTATTCTATGACAAGTCAAGCTCTTATCATTTGCAGCAGTGAGAGCTAAAATAACGGGAAAGAATGATGACTAACGCGGCGTCAGGTCTGGGACCAACCTGTACCAATCGCTACACATATACATATATATACGGACGTATAAGGACATACATATGCACATATGCACACCCAAACATATATATGCATATATATGCTTATATGTACGAAGAGGGAGCCATCGATAGCCTTTTCAGTAGTAACCGCCCGCTGGAAAGGCAGTTGAGATTGCTCGCTCATCTGAGGATTGCTTAGAAGCAAGCTGATGGCAGGTGGGATTTCCCGGCATGCACCAGTAGCAATTTACCAGTGAAACTATTCGTAGGAGGATTGGTTGTGCCACTGGCACTGCTATGCCAGCCTGTCGGGGCTTTGCAAAAGGGGAGGGGGGCACTGAGCAGCTTCTATTCTTGCAAAAAGACTGCCACCCTAGTTCATCGCTTGGGATATGGGGTTCCATACGATGCCTTCCGCTCGGTGTTGCTTCGGTTCGCGTCAATCTACGTCTTGGAAGCATCGCCCCCGCACAATGGCAGTGAAAGAGCGGGGCACTGACCGGAAGCAGGCGCATGCTTTACTTCGTCGCT